CCCCCCTTGCCACCACCATGCCCCCGCTGCCAGCACCACTGCCACCTGTGGGTGGTCACCATGTCCCTCAAGCCTTGGGAGGCATGCGACATTCATGTGGAAAATAATTATTTCTTTGCAATGGTCTTGAACCCAAATCCTCCAAGGTATGCTTGCTTAGTTTGGGTAAGAAAACTAGTCTCAAGTCATGACTTTCTGCCAACCTTCTGCATTAAGCAGCTTTTTAACAGCTGAGTCACCAAGCCATTGGAAATGTTGACACATCATAAGTATCCCCAGAGTGCTGTGCAGTCTCTCATTTAATCCAGGAGCTGTTCCCAAGGAAGAGGTAGAGACCAGTGCTGTTCTGCAGCCTGCTGCAGCTTGGGCTGCTGAGTCAGAAGTAGTGTTATGAAACAGACATGTAGAAAATTCTTGTTAACTTTGGCAACTTCTTCCATTTCTTGCCAATAAACCTGAAGCAGAGGCTCCGAGAGAGAGAGAGTCAGGCGATTAGGGGACAATTCTTTGTTCTCTAGCACCCAGAGCTCTTTGCATCACTTTTGAAATCAGCCCAGTAGGGGAGAAGCTGTTGGCTTTGGTGGATGCTGAATTTGCATACCATGGCTCCACGAATTGCTGCCAAGTCAGTGAACAATGATCAGAGTGGGCACGTTGTGGGGGGGAGGCAGTCCATCATAAATCAGTGGCATGTAGGGACACAGTCACAGAGATGCAATTAACCCCTTAGGCTAGATTCTGACCAGAAATGAGGTGGACTCTTCTCAGGTTAACTGGAGTTGTTTGATGGACTCAGGGAACTTATGGGCAAGATCCCCTGGGAAGCCAGACTGGGGGAAAAGAGTCCAGAGATTTGGCTGTACTTCAGAGAAACCTTACTGCGGGTGCAGGAACTAACCATTCCAGTGCACAGGAAGACTAGCAAGTATGGCAGAAGATAAGCTTGCCTTAGCAGGGAACTCTACAGTAAACCAAGTCACAAAAAAGTAGCTTATAAGAAGTGGAAACTGACAAATAACTAGGGAGGAGTATAAGAGCACTCCTGGGGCATGCAGGGATGAAGCCAGGAAGATCAAAGTGCAACTGGAGTTGCAGCTAGCAAGGGAGGTGTGAAGGGTAACAAGAAGGGTTTCTACAAGTATGTCGGGAGCAAGAAAAGGATCAGGGAAAGTGTGGGTCCCTTACTGAATGCGGGATGCAAACTTGTGACAGAGGATGCAGAAAAGGCTGAAGTGCT